TAATTAACATGGAAAGTGAGAAAAGTGTCTTTGGGGTGGAGAAACTTGTCAATAATCCCAAGCCCAGGTGGTGCCCCCAGAGCTCGGACATCTCATCAGATGGACTGGCTCAACTGGATCACTGCATATCAGCTGGACTGATGCTGAAAAAGGATAGGCCTCTTATCAGCTGGATCAATGCTGGAACAAGGGCTGATGATGCCTTTTATCTCTCTTTTCCTCTTTCTTCCCCTTTCTTTTTCTCTTTTCCTTTTAAAAAATAATCTTTCCCTTTTTAATTAACCTCTTTAATTTCCCTTTTCCCTCCCACCCTATCTCTTTATCCAAAACCCACTACCATATGCCTAATTTTTCTTTTCCCTTCACCCTACCCCTTTACCCAAAACCCAGTGCCATGTGCCTGTGTGGCAGGTCTGGGGCTAACATACCAATTTCCACATCAAGTGTGTAATTTGGTAGTAAAACTCTCTGATTGTTTGTGGACCCTCGGACTTTTGTCGCTCCTTTTGACCGATGAGCATTTTCGAAGCTGAAGTGCTCGCTTCCCCTTGAGGGTGGGTTGTCACACGGTGCCCTATTGCCTGTACCCATCCCCTTCAGAGGCAGATCTGTGCTCCCAGACTCACCGCCAAGCCACCACTTGCTCCTTGTTGTCTGGCGCCCTCTCCTGCTGTGAGATATTTCCTCTTGGAAACCGAAGGAAATCCGAATTCAGCTGGTCCAGGCAGCACATGGGAATGCTGCTGGGGGCCCTGTGCCCTGGGGCACTGCACGGGCTCTTGCTCTCAGTGTGCTCCTGTCCAAAATAGTCCGGGTTCATTCAAGTTGTTCTGCCTTCATCATAGTGAGAAGGAATCTTGTCACGGTACTTGCTGAGGTTTTGGATGCCTCAAATTGTATCACTCACATCTCACAGCCTAGATCACAGAGAAAGGAGCTATACCTTGATTCACATCAGAGCACAGTGGATGCATGAGTGACTGAAATCAGCTGGGAGGTGAGAATCATAGTTTGAGATTCATGTAACAAGAAAAAAAATTAGTATTAGACTTGGAGATACTTTAAAATGAAGGGGGGAGAGGGCTAAATTTTAGAAATCCTTTGCTGAAATAATATGATTCTTTACTCTCACTATATATATTCAAATTAACTGCTACACATTATGCAGGTTAACTGCAGTGTATGCTCATACACATACTAGCAATTCCTACTCTTTCAGTGTTTATATATATTCTGATAACACTGAACAAACAGAATAAACTGTATGCAGAATGTGTTTAAGAACACAGCAAAAGAAATTGTACCAGCAGCCAAACTGCTCTATTCATGCATTACTCAGTCAGAAAAGGGCAAGACCTCTGTATTAAAATAGCAACATGATATGCTTTCCTGGGCACGCAAGCCTGAAGGTAAAGAGTGAGCCATTATTAATGGAGCTCAAATGTGTGTGAACTGCAAAAATAGCTCACAAGCTCTGTAAGGTACATCAGATGCTGTGCAAGGAAATACATCACAATGGAACTGGCCAAGTTGAAGTCATTACTGATGAGATGGAAAGGTTCAACACACAATTCAAGTGCTTTTCTTGGAAGTACAAGTGATATCATTTATCTGTCCTACTTTAATCGGGACAAGAACCTAAATTGTGGGTTATAAATGCCTGAAGTTCGGTCTTCAAAAGGACTGCTTTATAATAATGGGGCAAAGTGATCCCACATATCCCATTTTAGCTGTTCAACCTGTAAAAGAAAATCAAAGATGTATTTGTTTTGTTTTAGTGTGTATATGTTTCATTTTTGCACTTCAGGCAATTTACATTACACTAAAGATAAATTTAGTGCTGGGATAAACACCTTCTGGAATAAGTGTGAATGCCAAGGAGCAATGTGCACTGAGTATCTGGTGAACCTGCTCCAGGTCTCTTTCAGACTAGTCAAAGTTTAGGGTAAGCCCAGGGGAAAAAAAAAGAAATGGAAGAAATTTTGCTGTGAGGCACATTGTGTGTCCAAAAGGTGGGCTAACCCCATTCCCACTGTAAACATGAGCGGGCTGAAGAAAGTCTGCAGTGTGCTGGGCAGTGCTCGCCTGTTGTTGATGCTTTCTGCGAGCAGGCTGAAACCAGATTAACTGCACAGGATCTCAGGAGAGCTAATTATATTTTTAATTTTAAACACTCATCTCTGAGTGCTGCACTGGCAGCATGGCCGTGTCTTTTGTTCTGAATGCTGCTCTGACCACAGCTGGGTATGCACAGCTCCAGTTATAACCATGGTATATGACTAGATAACAATAATCCTGAGCTGACATTTGACTCCTCTCTCCCTTGAAATCCTGCAGACTACACTAATGTATGGTCAGTGCATTCAAAAGGAGAGTTGGGTCTCAAAGCCTCCTCAGGAACTGGTAAATCCTACAACCTACAATCAAATTAACGTCAGTGTCTCTTTTCTGGGGTGGATATTGAAAGAAAGGAAACTGGCAAGAATATGTACTATTTTTTGTGAAACAATAATCCAGAGATCTTCTGGACTGTTTGTCTGAAGAAGATCACAACTGCCTCTTTTTCTGAACAGGTGGTCTGTGGCACAGCTACAACAGTGCCCATGCTGGTCTGCCTGCAACTTTGTGACCTGACTCTCAGCTGGCTCCTCATCCATCCTGAGACAGAGCTCATGCATTCCTGCTGCTCTCACCGAAAAGGGCAGCTCCTCCCCATCGTTGTCCTTTCTAAAGAGCCTGTATCCATCTGTTGCAGCCCTCCAGCTGTGTGAGCTATCCCACTGGGTCTCTGTGATCCTGATGAGATCACAGCCTTTGAACTGCAAACAGACACGATTCCTCCTGCTTCTTCCCCACGTCTTCTTCAGATTGGCACTGGAGATGCTGCTTTCTTAAAGAAAAGTATCTGCCCCACCATACTGGCCTGTAGGGCCTGTTTTATTTGTGTGAACAGACCTGGGGTGAGTCCACTGCATTTCTCTTCCGTTAAGAAGTTTCTCCTGCCCACGTCACCTTGCACACCGATTACCAACATGGCCCACCATATCCTCACACGGTTGCGGGATGTCCTGCCCTGCCCCACATCATTCCTAGTTGGCCTGATGGTCAGGTTGGTTTGGCTCTGATTAGTCACTTGGTAGTTACCAGGTAACTGCAGCGGGTTACTTCAGCAGGAGCATGTGCATGGGGAAGTGGCATCTGATTTTAAAAGTGGAATAGTTATTTCCCATCAAGACAAAAGCATGAAGTGGCAGGACATAACCTGATGTCATTTACTGTTTCCTTTTATATTTCCAAATTTGCACATGTTGCTAATTGTTGTGTGTTACGTGGCAACACAGGAATCCACTTCTATGTGATACATTATTAAAGAAGATACTATTAGAGAGACATACAGGGCTACAATATCAGCTAGAAAGTCACCAATAGCATCACACATACAAGTAGAAAAACCTATTAATTCAACCTGATATTTCTCTGTATTCCTCCAGGAGTCATGCTTAAGGCAGTGCTCTAGGTCATTTTCCACATTAAGGCCTTCTATAGACTCTGGATTAGTGCTAGCAGTTGAACTCCATTTAATATTTCATTCTAAATAAATTTATTAGTAAAAATTCTGCCCATATTATTTCCATATAAATTTACATTTTTTAATGTCACCACGGGATGAGGTAAATTGTTTGGAGGGTGGGGGTGGCAGAGAACTGCAGTTTTATTGCAGAAATGGAGGTAACAGAAGCCAATACAAAACTGAATCACTATGGTTTAATTGGTCCCATTAACACAGTATCTTGGGAAGAGCTGAGTAACAAATTACATGCTTTTCCAATGGAGGAGAAATAGTTGACAACTCTCACATGACAGGGTAGGAATAGAGTAGTGGAGGCTTAATGTTTCTTTTCCCGCAGCCTACAATTTCTACAGAAAACTCTCACTGTACTTTGGGATATTCCCCTTAGCAGCTCAGTTAAACATACCCTGTCACAGATGATCTCATCTTGAGCCATGTAATCAACTGTGCTCTCACACACAGCAAAATTCCTACTTGAATGAAAGAAGGCACGAGGAATCTCCCCCTTCATCTCTACTGCATTAGTATAGCAATTGTAAGGATTAGAGTTAAATTTGACCTTGAAGGACCTGAGCAGCAAGGCAATAGTGAGCCAAAGGCAGGTTTCTATGTATGTGACTTTTCAATCAGGCAGATACCAAATATAAAAGGAAGTCATAAAGAAACAAGGAAGCAACAGAAGATGTATATATTTATATACTGTCAGCCTCAGGAGCTAACAGAAGTAAAAAAAAAAAAAAAAAGAAGTCAAAAAATAAGCTAGCTCTGATAATCACATTTAAATCTCCTCACCCTTTATTGCAGCTAAGGAAGTACCAAAGGGAGGGGGTCAACGTTTTTGGTAATTAACGCAAATTACATCAGAAGAGATCCTAATCATATCCTTAAATCATAATTTCCTAACAGAATTTCTTAAAACTGCTTTTAGGAATGAAAAGAAGCCCTTCTGTGGAACAAGTTTTCAACTTGCAGGACTGAAGTAGACATCCAATAGCTCACATGGGATTTTACAGCTACCCTTGAAAGGATGTCATGAGTGACACACCTGGCACAGAAGCATATTTGTCAAGGCCACTATCCACAGGCAGAGAAAGTCAGTAGGACTTGTTCATTTCAACTACTCTTTCCACTGCTCAGAATATACACACAGCAGATTACTGCACAATTCTGCATTTCTCTAGGGATTGAGATGCAGGTTGCTTGGAAGACAAACGTAACATCCAGCTTCTCCCAGAAAACCCTGGAGCACTGTGCTGGGTTTTCATGTACTGTAACAACTAACAGGCCAGGGACAGAGCTGGGAAAGTGGGGAAAAATAAAGTGAAAACTGAGACTGAACATGAAGAATAGCAAGTTTTCTTATTAATCTACAGGATATGGCTCAACAGTAATTCACACAAAGCCTCAATTATTTAACTTGCAACTTTATTTCAGTTTAAATCATTGGTATAAAAGTTTATTATCTAGTTATACAGATACTGGGGGTTTTCAGGGAAGCTTATTTTGTCCTTTTTAGTGTCTTTTACCACTTGGTCCTCAGGCATGTTTCAAGAGGACTAACACTACATGTGTACCTTAAATTTCTGTACAAAAGCATTTCAAGTCTTTGTTTTGTTCTTCTGCGTAGGATGCCCAAAACATGCATATTATAGACAATATAATGGCCAAGGAAATGTTTCCCCTCTTTAAACTAAGGCAGTTAAAACCCCAGGAATATTGATTGATAAATTTGGAAGAGTAAAAATGCTTCCTTAGTGCTCATTTAATCTTTGAGCAAGTAAGACACACCCTCTTGGAATTACCAGATTTGATTGCCGTCTGCACTGAAAAGACAAAGATTGTCAAAGACAGCATTTAATTATGTACATTTCATAATGCCACTAACTCATCCACTTCTGAATAAGAACTCGTCAACGTTAAGAACTGTGTAAACCCACATGCAAAAATTGCCATAGAATCTTTAAAGTAGAACCAAATTGGCAAGTTTTTGGAAAGGATATTTCAATGTTTAAAAAAAAAAAGTCTATTAAAATGAGCACTTCAAGTAACTTAAATATCTTTAGCAAACATGTCCAGCAAGAGACTCTCTGTAAAAGAAATTGTTCTTAGAACAAAAAGCTAACAAATGGCTATTCAGCCACTAATTTTTCAACACAGTGGTGGGTCTGTGTGAAACAATTTGTAATCTAAATAAAGCGAGTCCATTACAATGTTAAAAAACATACATTAAGCAGGACTGATTAACTATTGCATTTCTGTATTTACAAAAGTGCTTAGCATAACAAAATTACCTAAAAAAATATAAACTTTACCAATATCATTTGGTTCTATGTGTGCCCCTAGACTTGCACTTGGAAAAAATAGTATTTACATTGTTAGATTTAGAGAAGTTTCTATAATTTTTAAAGAAATTTAACAAAACGCCCCCCACAAATGGACCCATATCTAAGTCAATGAATTTCATCTGGCTTATAACAGAGCAGGCGAAAATCCTTGAGTGCTGAACAGGTACAAACAGGTCTAGCCATTATCTGTGGCATTAGACCCCAGAACTGGCTGCCGACAAATTGGGCAAGTGGAGTTTTCAGAAAGCCAGCGGTCAATACAATGAATATGAAACTCATGTGTACAAGGTAACTGCCTTAGTTTATTCCCTGTTGCATATTCATTAATGCAAACACTGCATGTTTTACTCCATTCATTTTCAGTGTGAACATCCCCATAGTTCCGTGTAGAAAGATTGTCAATCTGCTCTTTGGTTAAACCTCTCAAACGATCATCATCATCATCATCTTCATTCAGCAGGAAGAAGTGGGCAAGTCGAAGGATGGGCAGTGTTCCGTTCTCCACCAGGCTGTTTGCATCTTGAGACTGCCTGCTATCTTGGCTCTCACGATTGCGCCCAGAACGTTGACTACCACCCCTCTGCCCATTTCTTTCCCTGCTGCTGTCTACTGCATTTCCATTTCTAGACAAAATCCCACTTGGATCACTGCTGTTTGCTGAACTTGAGTTATTCTGTGCATCTGCTGAGTGATGACCGCCTCTTTGCACTTCTGAATTAGATTCAGTTTCCATTAAAGAACTCAGTTCTCCAAAGCCTGTCATTATCTGTCTAAGGATTGATCGAAGAGCCACTGATGAAGGCTCCCCAAGCCCAGTTTCTGAAATCCGACGAAGAGGTATCCGTATAGTGCTAATGTAGGTCCGAATACCGGCGCGTTCTGATCGGGATATCGTGCGCCGAAATCCCCCACTGTCACTTTCAAAGGTAACCGTGTTTTCTGACATTCCTGCTCTAGAACGAGTTCTACTGGCAATGCTGTCCCGGTCTCTGTTTTCTCCAGGACGAATTCTTCTCACCTGAAGATCTAGTGTAATTGTTGGGTGCCTTCTGACAGCAGCTACTGGCCTACTAGATTCTTCCTCTTCCAAAGTTATTCCTAAGGATGGCGCTACACTGGAAAGCTGGGGAGTCTGAGTGTTTTCTCTTGCTTGCTCTTCAGTAGGCTGTGGAGAAGCCTGAGCTGTTTGTCTCCTACTTCTGTTGACTTGCTGTGCATTTCTATCCTGCCCCTGACCACGTTCCTCAGAAGGAGCAGCATCACCTTGCCTTTGCAGCGGGGAGCGGCTTCGACTACTTAAGGTAGACCTCAGCCGCAAAATTTCTAGTCTTTGGTTTGTATTCATCTGGACATTAGCTCTAGCTCTACCCCTTCTGACTCTTGCAGAATTACCTCTTTCTGGCATTTCTCTTGGTTCACCAGCAGCCACAGAATTATTTCGTGTAGTATTATTTGTCTGGCCTGTCAGCTCCCTCGTTCTACTCCTGAGCCTCTCTGAAACTGCGTGAGAGACTATTTCTGACCTTAATGCCATGGCACGCCTTAAAAGCCTGGTCCTTGCAGCTTCGTTGTTTGCCTCTCTTGCAGCCATGCTCCTCGTCCGTGGGGCTACTGAACTGGCAACTAGCTGACGTCTTCTTTCTACGTACAGTCTGGTAGCATCTATATCAACATTCTCCTCGCCGGAAGTTTCAGAACTGTTATTATCATGATTTATATTGATCTCAAGACTAAAGCGAAACTCCCCACTGTTTGGATTCGTTCGACTCACAGCTCTCCAGGTTTGGTTCCCACTCTGTCCACTGCGAGTGGCATTTCCTGTGCGACGAAATGTGTTAAGCCATTCAAGCAAAGAGTCACCGTTGGAGTTTTCCCTGAGAACTTCAGAATCTGAGAGAAACAAAGAATTGCAAACCTTCATATGACTGCACGATCTGCATACTACAATGCACTCCAAAACCCCTTCACTTGCTGGGCTCTGACTTCAGACACAATACAATAACATAACTTGCTATGCTAATGTATAAAAATATGCTCTATGTAAAAATGTCAGCAAAACTTACCAGTTCAACCTAGAATTTTTGTCTCACAAGGAGACTCAGAGAGAAATTAATATGCCCAGATGGCATCTTCTGAGCCAGTGTTCTGATTCAAGTGGTCCAAAGACAGTTGTATTTGTCCAATACCTGCCCCTTGCTGAAGTTACCAGTTTGGGAACAACTCATTTTGATACAGCAAGAAAAAGAATAACAAGTCTTGTCTTCTTTTGGAAAACATCTAAAAAATTTGTTTCCTATAAGTGATACAATAAATGATCACAGAATCATTATGGTTGGAAGGGACCTCTGGAGATAATCTAGTTCAACTCCCCTGCCAAGGCAGGGTCATCTAGAGCAGCTTACACAGCAATGTGTCTGGGTGGGATGTGTTTTGAACAGATTTTCTCCTTTTGTGCAAATATATTCTTTTCCTAATTACAATGCCCACAGCTCCATTTTCAAATCTTCTCCAACTACACAAAGAGGTACAGATACAAGCGTTGTGGTTAGGGCTAGCTATGCATCTAAAGCAGGCCAATTGTCATGATCATAGTGAAGTTTCTCCCTTGAAAAGGGATCAGATTAAGTTCTCCCTACTCCATCACCTCTCTGTGTCCAGGAAGAGTCCAAGAACTTTGGTATCTTTATTTCTGAGCTGCCAATTCCTCCCACAAATTTGACTAGAATTGGCCAAATAAGTAAGCCAATATTTCTGGGGAATTGAAGACAGTGCATAAAACACAAGCCTCACTTGACTAAAACAAATGGAAATTAAACAACAAAAGTGGCAAACCAAAAATGGAGAGATTAACTGTTTTCCAATTAACTTCTTTTCCAACAGCTATAATACATGATAAAACCTCTAAGAACTGAAAAAAAATCGTAATTTTTGTGCTATTACATTTATAAACAATGGAAAGTGAGGGAAAAAGGAGCATGTACTTTGTGATTAATATAAACGAGTTTACATCAACTATTTCAAGTCTGGTTTTGGATGCTTAGGAAATCTTGCTTAGTTTTAAACAATCCCTAGAGGCACATTGAAAATAAAAAAGCAAGAGAAATGAATCTCTCTTAAATATCTTTATAGAACTGTTATCTATGCACCACATGCTATGTGTCTACATATATGAATGAATAATGTTTACCTCCAACAGTTCTACCTTCACCTTCTCTGTTATCCAGATCAGACTGTGATGTCAGACGCTCCTTAGCCCCCTCCAAACGCTGCTGCAACTCTTCTGCTGTTATTTCTCCTGAATTTACATTTTGATAACACTGTTAGATAAGACACTACTACTGCCTCTATACAGCCATGCAGAAGTAATATTTTCTATCTAGAATGAAAATCTTCAGAACACAGAAAAAACTGGCGAAAACAGAAAGAAAACAACACTAATGTGAGACTATAGTGCAGATATCAGTGAAAGTAGGTAGTGGAAGAAATAGAAGCTGAATGTGTCAAGAGTATTCTCAGCTTCCAGTAACAATTCAGACATCCCCAAAATTGCCACGTATTGACAGATATACTTGAATGTACCAAATGTTACTTATTTTGGTTTGGACGCCCAAATGCAGCATCTTTGTATACAGGTAAAGTATACTTTTGTTCCATATGGAGGTTTTTTCCCTTTCTACAAAGCCACAGAAGTCAGGCTGCTTGAGTCACAGTACCACAGGTGGTGCCTAACAGCAGGAGTGTTACTTCATTACACTTCTACTGAAGGTATGCACATCTTACCAGGAGTGCCAAGCAGGTTTCGGTCCCTCATTAACCTGTAGTCCTCCTCGTTGAGCTCGTTAATGAACTGGTAATAGGCCTCCTCCCTGCTGAGGCGCTCCAGCTGCCGCTGTCTCTCGCCTTCGCCGTGGCTGCGCTCTCGTGAAGGCGCCTGCTCATTGCCATTTCCTGCACGGTGTCGGAAGCGATCCATAACGATAATGCCAAACTGTCCTGGACAAAACCAGAGATTAGACTGCTCAGAAATTACAGGAAGAATTTACCTAGTTTGCAGTAAAATGTTCCCAGCATTTTCAAATAAATTAGTTAATTAATAGCTAAAGATGAGTAAGGAGAACCAAGCTCCGTGTTATTTGCCAAGACAACAGTGCAGCTTATTATTCAAATATATAAATACTTCTAGCTTGTTGAAAAATAGTTTCAAGCCCCCTTCCTCACTGAAAGGGCATACTGGTTGGTATGGCAACTTTAAAATAAAAATGCAATGACAGATTCTTATTTTTTTTTTAGCTAAATAATGATATTCTAGAAAGTTAAAGGAATTAACATAAAATTTATATCCTTTCTCTCATGTAAAATACAACAGCAGTGGGGAGTATTTTAAAAGCTGAAGTATAGCTAAAAACATGGTTTTCTGATTATTGGACTGCAATTATTCAGTGTAGACTTGTGACAACCCCAACATAAGACTACATTAGTATTTTCATTAGTAATATCCCCCATGTAGTATACAGCCTACAGATTTATTTTTGGTGGAATGACTCTTCTGACATTCTTACATTATTTGTATATTTTCCTTGCAGTTTCTAATCCAAGGATTAACTAGCAAAGAGATATCCATCTGCAGAATATGGGTGTAAAAGGGATGGGCTGTACTTTTACCACAGTTCTTCATCACTTACAAAATATTGAACTAATGGGACCACACTGTTAGAAGGCAAGAATAACCTTCCAGAGTCAAAGAGGCATAATCTCCGTTGATTCCCGTGTCATTATCATCTCCCTCTGGTTAGGGCTCAATTCGAGCCAATCGGCACTCAGACCACTCCTCAACGTTCCTATTTTCTAAAGGAAACCTGTTCTTCCACTCTCTATTTGAAAGGCAATAAAGTGTCCTTTCAATTGAGCTTCCTGTTTAACAGGCACCTGTAACACCTGCTGATGCAGACACCTGACAAAAGAGATCACTCCTCGAAAGAGATCATCAGGCTAAAAAAGCCCCAACCACACTGCACAACGCTGCTTGCATAAATGCCTTTCCCTTTTATTTGTTTGCTTTTTGTCAATTGACACACACATAAAATCCACTTCCAGTTTAGATTATGGGGAAAACACAGAAAACAACATTCTAAGCACACTCCTGATCAATAATTAGTCATCACAGGACAGGTGATGAGACAACAAACAGACCAAACCAATTAACTATTAGAAATACATCAAAAAAAGGGCAAATTTTAATCAACAGTGCAAACAGAAATTACAAAAATAATCAGAAAATGTATGTCAACAGCAGAAGCTGGTATACATTTGATATACCTTTCTTATGTTCTTCGTGGGATCCATTCTGATGTATCCTTGGTTTCAATATTTCCACACCTCATGTTACTTCCCCCCACCAGCCCCTGCCCCAGGTAACTGCACTTCTAAATACACTTTTTCCAAATCAACCATCTTCCTCCTGTGTCCAACACTACATTTTGATGCATTCAAAATACTCTCTCCTAGCTCTAACTCGTTCAGCTTAAAAGAAATTAAATGAGTATCTTCCCTTCAAGACACTTTCCATTCCCATAATATTTTTTCTTTTCTATCAGTGTTGTCCTCTTGGCTCACCCTCACAAACTATAGATAACTTCTGACTCTGATTTCCCACAGGGGCTATGTTCAAACCAGGTCACTTCTCATACCACATTTCTAATCAAAAATTTCTCATCCAGCTCTTCCTCTTACTACCCCGGTTTCCTCACAACAAAAGCAGTTCCCACCCAACCCCACCAGCCAACACTATCATTACCTTGGCAACACCCATCGTGACTATTACCATGAAAATCCCCAATCCAGACTGCACTGAATACTGAAGTGCCTCTGTCCCAGGTGACTTAAAACTTGACACAGGTGCAGCAGGGAGGGGGGGGAAGAGGATTGATAAAATGAATTCAATTTCACGTGAGGCTGTTATTTAGACAAATGCCTCAGAACAACATGTGGCCGCTTGCCTGACAATGACCATTCTAAGTCAACCGACTTCCCATTATATGATTATATTTAATGATTTAATTCCCAATACAATCATGGCATTGCCGCACAGAAGAAAATGCGATATATATTCTTAAGAAGTCCATCACATGTAGTCCCCCTCAATCTAAATTTAAAGTGTTGTTCAAATGAGAGGTTCTTTAGTATTCAGTTATCCACAGAAAATCTGGAAATCTCTTTGATTTTGTGGGTAGTTAAGGAAAAAAAAACATTCTTTTGTTGACAACTGTATGGTAGGATTAGTCACACTCCTTAAATGACTCACTTAGAAACCGTAAGAAGTGTGAAGTGCTCGGTTGTCCCATCTGTTTAACATAACTCCATGGATGACAACTACTATCCCTATTTATCAAATGCCATCAAAACTAAGTACTTTGGCACCTAAAATGCTTTAGCGTTATGAAAATCGAAGGCTATTAACTGAATCAGAAATTAGATACATTACACTAGAATATTTCAGAGTACTGAAAAGTTGAAGGATATTAGCTACTAAGATACAAAAAAAACCTGAAATCGAAATCCAGTTATGACTCAGATTACTCTTCCTTTGCAAAGAGATAGGGGTCGCATGCCAACACCTTATGTTTTCTAGCATTTTCAACCTAAGACCCACTCCTTTAGATTTTCATTCATAATTACTCTGGTCTATTCTTTAAGGTTTATGACTATTTTCTAATATACACCTTATGCTTTTAGGTTTCAGCCTGTTTTCCTCAAGTATGACCTCCGGGTCAATTAGGTACTCATTTTCTGAAAGACTACCACCTGATTGCAAGGTGACTACGGAGTTTAGCTGAGGAAACCTCCCCGAACCAGAGGGCTATTTAATATTTCTGTCACACCGCAGCCTCCAGGCAGGATGATCTCACCGACTTCGGGAACAAAAAATAATAAAAAAAAAAAACAAAAAACAGCCCGCAAACCAAACCCAGAAACCCCCGCGCACGAAGCCGGGGGAAAGAGAGAAAAAGGGAGAGTCAGTAGGTAATGAAAACACAGCCCCCGGGACGCCCAGAGGGACCCAAGCCGAAGGCCTGGGAGCGGCCGTCCACCCCCGCCCCAGGCCTAGGCCTAGGCCGGCAGCAGGGCCCGCAGACGCCAGCGTCGAGCCAGGCACCCCCAGGGCAGGCCAGGGCTCCACGAGCCCTCGGGCCCGGTCCTGCCCCGCCCCCCGCCTGTTGCCGGGGAGACGGGAGCGCTGTGACTGACGTGGCTCCTGCCCAATGCCCCCGCCGGCCCGCGGCCGCCGGCCAATGGCAGCAGCGACAGCCAGCCCGTGCCCTCCCGCCGCTCTCCCCGCGAGCTGCCCGCCGCGGCCCCGACACCGACCGCCGCGGCCGGACCCACGCTGTCCGCCGCTGCCCGAGCCCACGGCTCCCGTGCCCGCGGCGGGCCGCGTCACCCGCTGCGGCAAACTGGGGAGGCGCCCATGCCGCCGCCTGCCCCGGTGGGGGGAAGCCTCCCGAGAGCGCAGCCGGCAAGACCCCAGAGCCCGTCCCTGCCTGCTGCCAGCGGCGGCGCGGACCGCCCGGCTCAGCCCCGCGCCGCGCTCATCGCCCCGTCCCTCCCGGCGGCAGCGGGAGCCGCCCCCGCCGGGACACGGACCCTGGGTGTGCGAGCGGGGCGCGCTCCAGCTCCAATTGCGGTCCGGGTGGCGGCTCCAGCTCCGATTGCGGTCCGGGCGGCTACTGGCGCCGCCGGCGCAGGTTCCGTGCGCGAGGGAGGGCTCCACCGCGAGCCCCGCCCCCTCATGCGCACGCGTGTTTGGCACTGTGTAATAACTTACGTAAGGAGTAAGATTGATTATAGAGGCACTTTTCCCTCTGCTCCCTCCTTCCCAGTCTTCCTGTGGTTTTAAATGGGACGCTTCTCCTTCTTCCGCGACTTTGCCTCCCTTTCTTTCCTTTTTGTTTACGTTTCTTTCTGCGGGAATCTCCCAGTGAACTTTTTTCTAAAACGTTCAAAAAATAATTGCCCGGTGTCGTCGATTTTGGCGATTTCCATTTGTAGAGCCTTGGCTAGAAGTTCTCCCACGCAAGTGCGGAACCTCTCCACAGAATGTTGCCGGTTCTAGTTGCGGACTCACTGAGGGAACCCCCGGACTCGCTGTCCCGAGGTGCTTGTACGGGTTTGTCTCAACACATCCTGCAGAAACTCTCTGAATAGGCAAAATGAGGGGATTCCGCCTGGAGGGTGCTTCTGTGTAAAAGCGCTACCTCATCCTCACGTCCGAGCTGCTCTTGTGTTCAAACCGGCTTGCGGAAATAAACCAGAGTTTGGGTATTTTCTGTGCCACTGGTCCCGCTACAAAGGAGCACCCTCGGTAATGAATGAGGTGCTAGGAAGGGCTAAGGGCTGCTGTCCAGGAAGATACTTTCACAATACACCCATAATTTCTTTTTTTCCTCTTAAAGGAAAAGAGTTTAGGTTTGGTAGTGGTTTACATTCCTGTTCTGCCATTAGGTGGTTTCCATCAGACAAACTGATGGTTGGGACAAATTCTTAACACCGAGGCCAGATCAGGAACTCCTCCCTGCCCTCTGCATTCAGAAAATGGTAACCTCTCTTTCTCATATGCCTTGCCATTGTATAAATAGTATTGTATTATGATTCGCCTTGCCTGAAGCAATTAAAATATGTCCTTCCTAAAGATCAATTTTACTTTCATAATAAAAGCCAGAGCATCCATCTATCTATCTATCTACCTACCTACCTACCTACCTACCTAAACCATCTGTCCATCTGGTTACGTTATTTAAATCTTTTCCTCTAACAGTCTACTTTTACTAATCATTGTTCCACAGTCAAACACAACATCTTCTCTGGTATCAAGCCCACATACAGACTGTTCATCCAGAAGGAAGTTATGATTTAGATGGGTGAATAATTGCATATTTCCATAGCAGAACCTTACACTGAATTTGTTTATTTTCCACTGACCTGTTACCAACACAGAATTTGGTGTCCATGTCCTGTTCATAGTGATGTTTCACAACAGTACACTATAACTAAGTAAAGTACTTGTTCATTTTATGTTGTGTGGTTAATATAAAATGTCAAGAGTAGATCTTTCTTAGAATATTGTTGCACTGTGGCGATGCCGTCCACAGTGAAACACGCTCTTTGCAACTATAATAAAAATAGCCTGTGGAGGGCAGCAAACCTCAGGCAATTACTAAATTTTGTAATAGATTGAGAACCTGGATTTAGTTTGATCCATCTTTAAGGTTCTTTAGAAAGTAGCTCTATTCTGTTATATTTTATTGTTTAATATAAGTAAAGCAGGACCTTATAATCGGTCTTTTTAAACTGGATCTTAGCATCTCTAGGTGACACCAAAGTGCTGACATGAAGTTGCTTTGCTTGAGAGGAATCTGGACAGGCTGGAGGAATGGGACATCAGCAAGTTCATGAAGTTCAATGAGGACAAATGCAGTCCTCCATCTAGGAGTGATCAGCCCCCTGGGACAATCCTGGAGATTGGACCAGTGTGGTTCCTTCCAACCTGACCCATTATGTGATCCTGTGAACACAGAAAATTGATTATCAGGATATGACTGGGAAGTGATTACTCCCCTTTACATGGTTCTTGTTTGCCTGCATGTGGAATACTATGTCCAGTTTGGGGGTCTCCAGTAGAACAATCCTCATACGGAAAATTCTGGATGAATTGGAGTGAGTTCTATTGAGAGGACTAAGGTGGTCATGGGGCTGGAGCACTTGCCACATGAGAGAGGCTGTGGGCCCTAGGACTTCTTCAAGTTGGAATAATGGGCAGCCTGCCAGTACTGACAAGGAACTTACTGGAAAGACAGGCATTTGTATTGAGAGAAGGACAGAAAATTGGATAGTCGGGTCCAGAGAGGCTATGGAATATCCTTCCATAGAGGCTTGAGTGGAAAAGCCCTCAAGCAACCTGAATATAAGAGTAGCCCTGCTCTGAACAAGATATTGTCCAGAGGTCCCTTCCAACGTGAATATTTCTATGATTATAAGAAATAATATAAAGTAATATTTCAGGGTTTATTTCCCCTCAGACAGGGCTCTTCTCAACAACAACAGTAACCATGAGTTCATAGTCTGAATTTTCAAGGTTTGTAGAGACAGAATCAGAGAATCACTTAGTTTGGAAAAGACTTCTAAAATCCAGTCCAAACCATTAACCCAGCACCACCAAATCCACCGCTAAACCATGTCCCCAAGTGCCACATCTGCATGTCTTTTAAGTACCTCCGGGGATGGTGACAACTGAATCTCTGTCAGGAGCATAACATAGGCTGATTGTTACCGTAGGTGGTCCTGAGTCTGGGAAACAGATGTTTCTCTGAATGGAATCACAACTCTCCTATACAGCACCTGGATCCAAAGGACTGATGTATGTTTGCAAGTAACTTATTAGATCAAGATG